ACTCCCAAAGGCCTTTGGGGAAAAAAAGCAGAAGCTGATCCTAATATTCACATAAAATTTCAAGGGACCCCGAAGAGCCATAACAATCTTCTAAAAGAAAATCAAAGTTGGAGACACACTTTCCAATTTTAAATCTTAGTACAAAGCAACAGTAACGAAAATGTCGTGATAATGGCATGGAGATAAATAGATAGATCAATGGAATCAAATTGAGAGCCCAGAAGAACCCCACCCATCTACAGTCAATTGATTTTTGATAAGACAGGTAACATTAAATTGGGAAAAGAGGAGTCTTTTCATCGAACAGTCTCAGACAACTGGCCTTCTACATGAAGAAAAATGAAATTGGACCATAACTTTACACCACCAATAAGAATTAACTCAAAATAGATAAAGGGCCTAAATAGAGGAGGTAAAATTATACACTCTCAAAGAAAACATGGAAATATATTTCATGACCTTGGATTTAGCAACGATTTCTTAGATCTGACACTAAATTCCAAGCAACAACAACAAAAAATTGATAACTTGGATTTCCTTAAAAGTAAAACCTTATGTGCATCCAAAGAAGCTATCCAGAAAGTGAAAAGACAGCCCACAGAATGGAAAAAAAATAGTTGCACATTATATCTTTGATAAGAGTCTGTCATCCAGAATAAAGAACTTTTACAACTCATCGACAAAAAAACAAACAACCCAATTTTAAATGGACAAGGGACTTGACTAGGCCCTTCTCCAGAGAAGACATACACATGGTCAACAAGCACAAGAGAAGACCTTAGACGTCACGAGTGGTGGCGGAAATCCCAACTAAAAAGCCACAGTGTGACACCCCTCCACACACACTAGAATGGCCATAACCAGAACAACTAAAATTAACAAATGTCAGCAATGATGTAGAGAAACTGTAACCCTTAAACATTGTACTTTCTGACTATGAATTTGATTTTTGGAGATTCCTCACATAAGTGGAATCATAGAATATTTGTCCTGTGACTGTCTTATTTCGTTTAACGTAATGACTTCAAGTTTCATCCATGTTGTAACCTGCATCAGAATTTCCTTAGTTCTTTAGGCTGAATCGTGTACACACCACATTTTGTTACCCATTCCTCTGTCCACGGACACCGGGTCACTTCCACCTTTTGGCTGTTGTGAATAGTGTTGCTATGATATGGTGTAAAAATATCTGTGAATCTCTGCTTTCAAATTGTTTGGGCGTGCACCCTGAATTGCTGGATCAAACGTTAATTCTATGTTTAAGTTTTTGAGGATGCTCCTTAATGTTTTCTGCAGCAGCTGCGCCATTTACTTTATTCCTTTATATAGCAGGATATTAGTTTCTTAATTGACCACATTTTTCTTATCCATTCATTCACTGACACACATTTGAATTGTTTCACCTTTTGTCTATTGTGAGAGTGCTGCTATGGATATTCGTATACAAGTTTCTGTTTGAACACCTATTTTCAATTTCTATATCTAGAAGGGGAACCGTGTGATAATTGCATTTTTTTTCTCTTTGAGGAAATGCTGAGCTATTGTCAGATGGAGCTGCATCACCTGACATTTCCACAAGCAACGTTTAAGGGTTCCCATTTGTCTAACATCGTTGCTGACGTTTGTTACTTTTATTTTTTTATTAGAGCCATTCTTGCGTGTGTGAAGGGTTACCACATTATGATACCTCAAAGATACTGTGTTTGGGTCCAGGCCACCGCAGTAAAGTGAATATCGCACTAAAGTGAGTCGCAAGAATTTTTTTTTCCCAGTGCATTTATGAGTTATGTTTACACTATACTATAGTCTAGTAAATGTGCAAAAGCATCATATCAAAAAAATACAATCTTAAAAATACTTCATTGCTAAAAAAAAGTAGGTTAACCCTCACCTGAGCCTCTTGGAAAAATGGTGCCAATAGATGCACTTGACACGGACTCCACAGACCTTTGGCTTGTGAAAAACGCTTCTGTGCAGCTTAATGAAACAAGGTCTGCTTGGATTGGAATTTCTAGTTATCTGTGGCAGGAGGAGGTGGGGTAGGGGTACGCCTGGGGGTCATTTCAGCGCCACGGGCATCTCTTTGCCCAGTGCCACACACCTCAATTGCTCGGCTCTGCATACTGGACCCCTTAGAAATCACATGGGGACTTAGACATTTGCTTCTCCAGGTTCCATGCCAGCAGCCCATCTGGTCATGCTGAGGCCGCGTGTACATCACAGATGCGAGGGTAGCCCTGGGGTTGATCTCCACTTGGCCACAGCAAGAGATGCAACACGAGCTGTGAGAAGGCGGTTTATTGGACAGCCTCAGCTGCTGACATCGGGCTTTGCATTGCTCTACAGTTGTGGCTCATTTTCTGGAAAATCTCCTTGTGGGGCAGCCCTGTCAACTGTGATTTTCAAAAAATGTCTAATTTGATCTAATGTCATCTAATGTAATATGATAGGACCTAATTTGATCTCAACTTTGATGAGACAGAATTAGCAACAGCAGGCCTCATTTCCAAAATAAAGGTCGCTGATGAGAGGACACCTTGAGGTCAAACAGGACCATGTTGGAAGCCTTTTCACCAGTGTCTCCCACTTGCAAACTGGGATGGCCTGGTGTGTAGATTTCAGGGACGCTGATGACCTTGCTCCTCGGAGGGTGACAAGGGCACCAGCTGAGTGCTGGCTGCCAAGCACATGATACAGAGCCCTGGGCAGTCCCTCATCCCATCAGGGCCGTGGGGTGCGTCTCAGTGAACACCAAAGTGACAGGGCTCTTGCCTGACACCACCTGCCCTGTCTGCTAGGTGTTTGCATTCTTGGATCTGCTCAGTCCTCCAGCCTCCCTCCTGGCGCCTCAGCCAGCTCACTTGTCCTACAACAGCATCTGCCTCCCTCCCACCTCCCAGTGTGTGTACTCCAGCCGTCCTGCAACTGAACTTAGAACAGAGCACAGAAGAGAACGAGTGGCCATGAGCCGGAGCCTGAGGGGCACCTGTGTGCAAACCCTGCCCTCTGCACGGTCTGGACGTGCTGTGGCTCCTTAGAGCTTCCTGAATGTCTGGGTCAGCTGCACGTGGGTGTCACCTGGTCACATGGGCATACATGAGCACCTGGTTATGCCTAACTCATCAGCTAAAATGTTTGACCTAAGGGATGCTGCGACCCAATATGCAGGTGACATTTGATCTCCCGAGGTCTCTGAGACTTGCAGATCTTGTGTCCAAGTCAGAGAAAGGAACACAGTGTCTGTCTGCTGGGGCTGGACGCCTTTGTGATCACACGCTCCCTGCAAGGCAGGCGGGAAGTCTCGTTCCCATCCTTGGAATGTGAGTGTGCACTTTCAGAATGAGAATGGCCCACACAACTGACCCACTATTTAGAAAAGAGAAACAAAATCAGATGTAGCAATTCTATATCTATTAACATATTTTCCTCCTGAACACTACTCGAGTGTTTTTTTTAGGAATGTTAATGTTATTTACAACAGCGTTAAAAAACTGTGTATTCAGTAGCATGGCACTAAATAAATAATGGAACACCCTGGACCCTTTGCGAATCCACTTATTAGCATCAGAACATTCCTATGTAACAACGTTAACTGAAATTAGAAGAATGCAACGATTATAGATGTGAGTAGGTGTACGCAAGTATATGACAATTGTGGCACAAGTCTTGACTGGCCCAGGATTCTGATGGATCCTGTGACATCTAATCCGGGCCAGGTTTCCACGGGGACATCTATCTCCTCCAAACCTAGACGTGCTTCTTGAAAGCAGGTGAACACAGGAAGGTTATGGAGGAGACAAAAGTCCTCACTCGAAGATCTAGGCCTGTTAGTAAACAGAGCCCCACAGGGCCAGGGCCAGAGGCCCTTGCCACACAGCAGGAACTGCCTAACGCAGCCGCTCCATGGGGACTGGGTGAGGGCTCTGACGCATCTCACTGCCATCGGTGAAAATGCCAGCCTGCCGACTAAGTATAAGTTCATTATGGAATGTAATAAATTTCTTCCAAAAGGCAGCACGAGTGTCTTTAGAAAGGACATTAAAAACCTGCTGCATTCTTCTTCACACAGATTGCTTTATGTGCACTGTAGCCACTTAATTAAACGCTAGCATTTACTATGTCAATTATTAGCAGGTGACAACTGGACATCATTTTCCAGACGCGCATATGTATTTATACGCTCGACCATGGATAAAACCATCTCTCTAGAAAACAGCAAGATGCTCAACATGAGTTGCCAAACTATTTTTAGATGTTCACAATCTGATGGTTGGAGCAGGGGAAGAGTGAAAACCCTTCACACTATGGTCTTTAATGCTCAGACGCCTTTGTCCTGCATACGCAAGGGACGTGCTTGGCTAGGATTATGGCATCGTGTGGGTGACTTGAACTGACCCAGGAGTGCCCGATTCAAGTGTTTCCCACTTCAAAAGCACACGAAGCAGGTGTCCGCCAGCCCGCAGGAGCCAGGTGCCCCAGTACCCCCCAGGACATCACTGAGACCCCCACCGCCAGCACAAAATAAACCCCTCCCCCTGCCCACAGGGCTCTTCAGGGAAGATGAAATGGGAGTTCTGGTGCTCAGGCCCAGGAGGAACCTGACGGTGGCCCGCGGAGGCATCACGGATGAACACCCACAAAATGAAGATGCTCACTTTAGAGAAAAGGGAATCCTCGTGCGCTGTTGGTAGAAATGTAAATGGTGAAGCCGCTTTGGAAAACTGTGTGCAGCTTCCTCAAAAACTTAAAACTAGATCCACCATGATCCCGAAATCAGTACCTCTCACAGATATCCACACTCTCGTGTTCATGCAGCATAATCCACAGTACTCAAGATGTGGAAATGGCTGGAGTGTCCCCCAGCAGATGCACGGGTACGAGTGGAACATGTACACAGTGGAATACTACGCAGCCACGACAAAGGACAGCCTGCCACTGGGACGTGGATGAGCCTGGAGGACATTAAGCTAAGTGAAATAAGCCAGACCCAGAATGACAAATAATGCATGACCTCACTTTTATGTGGAATCAAAAATAGTTGACATAGAAGCAGCGTGAATGATGGTTCCAGGAGCTGGGAGAGGGGATGTCGGTGCAGGCGCAACGCTTCCGTGATGCAGGGTGAGCAGTCCTGGAGATGTATGGGCAATGACATGACGACAGTTGACAATGCTTTATGACACACTCGACGTTTGCTAAGAGGATGAATCTTAGCTGGCAGCCTCCCTGGGATCCCTGGGATCCCCTCAGAGAAACCCTATTCTAGATCCTTCACCTAAAAAGACAGACTGTGAGGCCAGACCACACGGGGAGCCCACTTATTCAACACAGGTCTGAAAGTGAAACCTCTGGACTCTGAAGGGACATGTTTCCCCATTTCTACTTCACCCCTTCCAAAAAGTTTCCGTCCTTTCCTGGCTAGAGCTTAATGTAGAAAAAGAAGACCATCCTAAATATACTTATACACAACCTTTGAGGGCACAGTTTGGAGGTGCAGACGCACAGGACACTTGTAAAAGTGAGATAGCAGAGTCTCACTGTAACCCACAAGGAAGTAGGACTTGTGCACAGGCAGCTGCCTCAGGACCAAAGCACAGATGTCCACCTGGTTCGCCCGGCGCTTTATGATAAGCTGGTCAGCCAGGCAGCCTGGGAAGGTGCCCAGCATGAACTTGCGAAGAAAAACATCCTCCACCGTTCTCTCTGCAGCATGGTCCTCCCCATCCAGGTTACCTGAAGATAAAAGGGCACCACAGAGTCAGCCAAAACTCCAGAGAAAACGTCCGCGAGCACAGGTGCCCAATCTCACCCCCAACCCCACCTCTTCCCTTATTATGTAAATGGGAGAAGAAGAACTTTAAAGTTCAAAGCACATTATTTCATTAAACTCCCAAACTAATCCTGTGGAGTAGGTACTATCACCACCCTTGTTTTACAAAAGGGAAGAATGAGGCCATAGCCAAGACACAAAATTCTGATGATCCCTCCATGCCTGGTCCCTTTCAAATTCTTTCTTGAATGCCTTATAGAAGCACTGGTCATCCCACTGACCAAAAAGATGAGTCCACCAGCTCCCTCTTGAGACTGGGGACATAATTCTCTCACCAGCCAGGCCAGTGGCCTTCAGCCAGTGGCCTCTCAGTGTGAACCCTGGAACCCCTGCATCTCTCACAGTATCTGCTGAGCCTCCTTAGAACCAGAACCTGAAAAGGGTGCGGGACAAGAATCTTTAAATAATTACTCTAGATTGGAACTCTACAAATATCCAAGCTGAGAGTCTTCCTACTGAAAATCCAGCTGGTTCTCATTAACTTGCAGTAGTTCTGCTCTGTAAAGTCACTGTGAACAATGAATCAGCTAACACTGAACCACTGCTCCTGGGGATATGTCAAGAGGTCAGTACGTATGTGTTTCTCTTTAAAGACACCTCATTTATCAAACGGGATGGTTAACAGCGAACTCTCTCCCAACAGTGGTAAAACTGATGCCTGACAAAAGCCTATCCCTCAGGCACGTGTTCCCCACAAGGCCCACCGCAGCCTTCTTGCGCTCGGGAACAGGACCAAGCGCTTCGGAATCACCAGCTATTTTAGGAGCACAACACTGCGAAAAGATGGTACTCGCAGGTCTCGAAAAGGACAAATGTGCACTATGTGGAAAGGAGAGACCAGAGGCAGCGCTGTTAGACCTAAGCGGGGAAGGTGCGCTGGCCGCTGCCAGCGTCGAAGAATAAGGGAGAAAGCGCCAAGGGGCAAACCCGCAAACACGGAGTGTGGGGGAAAAGGGTCGCTGCACATGTTTGCCCAGTAAAGTTTGTGCTTCAGAGGAAAACTGCGCTATTTAGAGCCCCGCGTGTCCACGACAGATTCTATGAGTTATTTTGCGTCTCTGTAAATCACGGGTGACTGACGGCAGTGCAGAAGGACCATTATCTTTACTCATGCGAACAACTCCTATGCAGGTTCAACCGAGTCCTTGCTCCCCATGGAAAAATCCAGTTCCGCACCCCTTTCAAACGCACTTCGACACTCGGGTCTACAGGTCTCTGCTTTTTTACTTCTCTGATCGTATTTAACTGATTTCTAATTCGCATTGGTTGCTCAGTTGAATAAAACCTCTGCCACGTGTTCACTTCATGTTTGTGTTGACACAACTGAGAACTCCTTCCGTGGGACCTGGGGTTGTACCGTCCACCCGCTAGCACGTTGTCGCCCTCTCTTGCCACCGAGATAGGCACCGTCCCCTCACCCGTGTGCAGCGACAGCCAGCCCTTGCGGTGGGCGATATGGTGAGGCGCGTGCGCCTCCTCGTAGCTCACTGGCTTATCTCCCTTGCCCACTCGAACTCGGGCCGCTCGGTTCTAGCAGCAAAAAGAAGCCGTGAGTCCGCGCGCCCACCGCCCCAGACCGCGGCCACCCAAACCTCGTCCCCCCGGCACCCCACAACCGGCCACGCGCCCCTCCCCTCCGCTCCCCGGCCTTCGGCCCGGCCGCGCTCACCTTGGCGCAGATCGCGGAGGTGTGCAGGGTGCGCCAGGGACACGGCAGCTCTCGGCCCCAGGACAGCACCTGTGGGAAAGGGGCGTGAGATGGAAACCAGAACCCCCACCTCGACTCGCCGGGCCCGCTCGCGTCGCCAACTCACCCGGGGCCCGAGCCCCCGGCTGAACACGGGCGCCGCCATCTTGGGCCAAGCGCAGTGCGTGGGACGTACCACCGCCGGGCGGGGGCAAAGACCCGCGCCGGCGACCGCGGACGAGA